ACACTTGTAACCCCAAACTGATCAACTAATTTCCCATGAAAATAGAGGCAGATGTGGGATATATTCTCTTAACACTTGATCTGTTTAGCTAACTGCCCAGTCCCATGTTTTATTTGTACCAATGTGCACATAGTGGAAGAAGAAAACTCTACACAGACCTTGAAAGATGCTCCTTCAATGAAAACCTCAGGAGTTTCAGAGGTAAACTAGCTACGTTCGCTACATGGTTTCCATTGTGCATCTTAGTTTTGATGAAGAATCCATGTTTCATGTCTTCAAAGATTAAAATCATATGAGAAGCATGTGCAATTTTTGTTTTTGGAATTCTGTTTTTGTGAGTAGTTTTATGTTGTGTCCATTTGCCCTTAATGGAGCTAGGAGCAGAGAAGGGAGATTGAAGTGTGAAGAGCAGCAGTCACTGAAGGAGAAAGCCCTGTCAAAGGTCAAGATGGAGCAGGTGGCAGAAAGTCACTCCCTTCCATTACTTGAATCAGAGACCAGAAAGTTCTTACTTCCTTTTAAATGGTTTATTTTACTTTTATTTGTGCTACTACAACACAATTCACTATAAATTCTATGGTAACAAAAATTAATTTCTAATGATTTTTCAGTGTATATTTTCTAGTGATAAGTATATACACATTGTTATATAATCATTTATTCTTAGATGTCTTTTTTTTTTTTTGGAGAGATTTTCACTGTAGGTCACATGTGCTCGCCAGACAGACAGAGAGAGACAAAGAGACAGAAAGCGAGAAATCACCCCCCAGGGAGGATGGTCACGCCGCAATCCCTTCTCCTCCATTCTCCTCTCAGGATCTTGGCCACGCACGCACACACGCCCGGCTTGAGCTTTAAGCCACCGGATCCAGGACGTGAACCGCAGTCGACTACGTGGGAGTCCAGCGACATAGCCATTACGCTAACTGCTGGTTCCCCTTAGATGTCTTTTGTTGAATCTATATTACAGTCAGGAGACATAAATGACCAAGGATTCAAAGATAAGAGACATGAGGTTCACTATACAAAACCTGAGAGGTAGGTTTTTGGGGTAAGAAATCTCCACATCGTGGAAAGGAATATGTGCTGGGAAGATAAAGAGTGGCTTCCCGGGCTAGGAATCTTGGCCTCTTCTCACTCTATGAAAGTTCTCGGGTCCATGTGCAGCCATGTGAAAACTGTTTCATCTTTTCCAGAAAAAAAGAAGGACATGGAAGACACCTGTTCTTCCCTGAAGTCTGTGAAAGCAGCAAAGGAAGTTCAATACAAAACACTACAAACAAAAGTAGAAAATATCTATGACATCTGGGAAGGAAGTAGGAAGCCACAGAGGAGTAAGATGTTCCTGTGTTCGTTGATACAAATACTCCTGAGTAGAATATATGTGTTGAGCAGACTACTGTAACATATTTTAGAATCATTTTGAAAGTGTACATCCCAAAAGAAGAATTCACTCTAGGGGGTGAGGAAAATGTTTCTTTCATGGTTTCTGTGATTGACATTTTTCTTTTCTGTCTAAATGGCTGTCTTACATTCTTTTTCTTTATTCATAATGGAACATATGCACATAGAGAGACAGAGACAGAGAGGAAGAAAAAGGGGGCAGCAGATGTCACAATGGTTACATTGCTGGAATCCCACATAGCCATCTGTAGTTCGAGTCTTGGACCTGGCAGCCTAAAATTCACAGGGTTTATGTGCGTGTGTGAGTTCCCAAATCCTAAGGGAGAATGGATGAGCAGAGATTGCAGCATGGCCACCCCTCTTGGGGAGTAATTTATTGCTTTCTGTCTCTCTGTTTCTCTCTGTCTCTCCACTGAGGACACACACCCTATAGCAAAAATATCTCTCTCTCTCTCAAAAATAAATAAATAAATAAGAGAGAAAGAGAAAGGGAAAAGAGCACACTCAACTCAAGAGATTCTAGTCATACAATGACTCCTTTCATTCTGTCCATCAATTCTTGGGCATTTGTGGGTAAGCCTGGCATGTTTCAGTCTAAAATTCAAAATGATGTGACTGCTGAGTCCCAGCTCATCTTTAGTGGTGCATTACTGCTGCAACACAGTGCTGGCCCATACCCTCTCAGTTGCAATTATTTTGGGGGCAGTGGAGACATTGATACCAGCATTGCTACCTTCTATATCTTACATCTGGTTGCCCTCTGGGTCTATTTCTATAGTCATTTAGGTTTTGATTGTATTCTATTGTACTGTCCTGCTAGTTATTGTGTTATATTTAGCACCAGACATTGAGTGGACAGTATTTAGAGAAAATTAATTTAGAGCCATTGTATGCTGTGATCTTGCTGCAGAAAAGTTGATAATTTGCTTCTGGCACATGGTAGAGGCCTTAGCAATACTGGATCCCCTTAATCCAGACTTTACTCCAGGCTCAGTCCCCCAAAAAAGCCAGAATGTTTTCTGTCCATCTTATCCCTAGTGTGAAATTCTCGGTCCCAATCAAAGCCTGTAGTTTCACAGGGGATCACCTTGACAGACCTCAAATCCACTTGCTTTTCTTCTTCTTCTTCTTTTTTTTTTTTTTTTTTTTTTTTTTTCCGGGGGGGGGGGGGAGTGTCTTATTAGCCTGCTAGCCCTTTAAAAATAAACTTTCTTCCTTTGGGGGGATGGCCATACCGCAATACCTTCTCCATTCTCCTCTCTGAATCTTGGGCACACACACAGACTCACACACACGCTCAGCATGAGTTTAAACCCCCAGGTCCGGGACTCGAACCACAGTTGACCACATGGGAGTCTAGCGACATAGCCATTATGCCAACTGCTGGTCCCTCCACTTGTTTTTCTTCTAGCCCACACATGTGTGCAAAAACTACTCAGCTTCTTTGAACCTCCAGAGAGTCTACCCAGAATTCATCGATGAGACAAGGAAGAAAAGGACCAAGTGCCCGGCTGGGCCAAGTCCTGGCTTCATCAATGAGACAAGGGAGAAAAGGCCCAAGTACCCAGCTGGGCCGAGTCCTGGGTTTCTTTTCTACACTGGCTCCTTACCAAGTCATGCATTCAGTTATGGGTTCCATCTGTTGTCCACTGTTTCTTCCTGTTTGTAGGGGCAATCAGCGACTTCAGATCTACTTACCCCAATTCAAAAGCAAACGTCTGTTGTATTGCCCCTCAAAACTCAGGTTTTATGTCAATCCTTCCCAAGCCCAAGGAAGGATGGGGCCAGATTTCTTGTCCCCACTGACTTCCTGTGTGCATTGAACTGACCTGTTTTAAGATGGAAATGGTGCCTGTGTGTTCTCAGCACTTCACCAAACACACAAAGGCCAAGAGCCACTCCAGAAAGCACTGGCTGAAGGATTGCTTGGATGGCCAGAAACAAATGCCCAGACATCCATCTACAGTGCTTTTGTCACTGTTTTCTAGTGATATTTTTATTTCACATGTGAGCTATAGAGAAATCAAGTAATAAGTTGAGAATCTTTTGAATCAGAGCCATGAACAAAGTCATTTGAGAATAATAGCAAATGTAATTGTTTAACCATTGCTCCTTTTTGCCTTTATTGTCAATAGAGGCAGCCTTGTTAATGTAGAGCCACTCTGAGACTGGTGGTTTTCCAGTGGAAATTTTGTTAATGTAGAGCCACTCTGAGACTGGTGGATTTCCAGTGGAAATTTTCTTGCAGGGGCTAACACCCTTGTTATGAAACTTGAATCATATTTTATTTCAGTAGATGTTGCCAGCAGTGAGATTATCCTCTCCCCCTAACTAGGATCTTTGAAGGAGGAGGTAAGAGTTCCATTCTAAGTTGTAGAAATGTCAGGGAGTGAATCACAGGGTGAATGACACCAGGACCTCTGGAAGGCTGACTATCTGCATGAAGCACCATCTTTTCTTTTAAGGAGAGCACCTTTCCTCATGGCAGGAGGCAGATAAACCCTCATCCCCTGCCCCACCATGATGTGTGTAGTTGTGAGGAGCTGAACTAAAATGAGTTTTTACTTTCTCAATAAAGAGACTGACAAAAAAGGACACTAATGGAATGACACCAGGACCTCTGGAAGGCTGACTATCTGCATGAAGCACCATCTTTTCTTTTAAGGAGAGCACCTTTCCTCATGGCAGGAGGCAGATAAACCCTCATCCCCTGCCCCACCATGATGTGTGTAGTTGTGAGGAGCTGAACTAAAATGAGTTTTTACTTTCTCAATAAAGAGACTGACAAAAAAGGACACTAATGTGTGGTTTTATCTTAGCTGATTTATGTAGTATTGAACAGAGCGCAGAGCCATGAAGAGAAACTTATATTTGACAATTACTTTCCCTCAGACAAGAGTTTAATTTTTTCTTAGTCTCTCCTTAGGTGACTTCTTTTTCCATCTGTCAGAGTTTGTCTTTCTGTACAGTTACAGGGGAGCTTAGGAAGGGACTTTTGAGACCTTAGAGATCACTAGGAATTTCACATGAGCTACTGGATAATGTGAATTTCCTTCCCATCTTAGGAAGCTATTTATGAGACAATGTGAACGGAATGAGAAAGAAAAGAAGCTGTCAATTGCTCAAAATAAAGAGAAGTCAGCTAGTGAAGAAATACTGTATTTAAAGTGAGTTAAGATACTGAACATAAGTATCAAAGGCAACCCTCATTGGATATTCTTGTATTTTAATCTTTACAAAATAATTAGACTCAATTAACACAGAAATATAAAGAAATGGTCAAAAAGTTTTGTGCACACATGCACACTCTCACACAGAGCGAACTAGAGAAAAGACTAATGAGAGAGTGGAGACAGAAATAACTAAATACTAGAGAGAGTGGGGACAGAAATAACTAAATAATGTTGATTTACTAAAGTTACCTGAATCCTAGGGCTGGTTAGATTATGCCGAAATTGGTTCACATAAATATTTCTTGGGGTGTTGAAAATAGTCTCAATTCCTAGGAAAGCAATTTGATGTAGGCTAAATCATGTCCACGAAAGTGATTGTCTCATTTTATAAACCCAGTTGTCATTGCCCTGTGAAATATCCAAAAAAAAATAGTTGAGCTTTGTGATAAAAGATGCTCAAAAGAAGTTTATTTACAGAAATATTGAGATGGGTTAAGAAATCTTCTCAGTTGGTGACTCTGCTGAATTCCATAATGGATAAGGAATCTATACAGCAATTACTTTAAACCTACTGTACATTCATGTGACATGTACTATCTGTGGATAAATTGTGTAAGGATACAGTTGTGAGGATAACAACAACATGGGATGATTATTGAAAATGATACTCAATGTCGTGCTTTGTCTGATGGAAATAATGGTTCATTATAGGAAAAAAACTGAAGAAATTCAAGAACAAGTGCAGAAAAAAGAGAAGCACCTTCAACACCAGGTAACCTGCGTTCTTTCAATAGTTGCAGAATCCTCCAGTACCTGAAAGAGGTGATTATAATTGCCCTTAGCAATTCTAAACATACTGTGCCCTATGTGTTTTATTTTTCAGATCATCATTTACGAACAAAAGACT